CACGTTTCTCTCTTTACACCTCCCTCCACCATGTATCTTGCACTCACCCACTATTCCACCATTACAACAATAACAACAACAACAATCCAGTATAATCTCACTATTGGGGTCTGGGGAGGGTAGTGTGTACGCAGACCTTACCCTTACCATGGGGTAGAGATGTTATTTTCAATAGACCCTCGGCATCCTTCCCTCCAAGAACTCCCACCTTGCTCTTGGGGTGACTCGAACTCACAATCTCTTGATTGGAAGTGGAGGTTACTTACCATCCGAGCAACCCCTTTTGTCAATCATTAAAAGCTATTCCACAATTGACAATCATTAAAAAGTTTTGAAGCTTTGAATTCGAATTTAGGTTTTCAAAAAATAATATTTGTTTGAATTGGATGTTGTTGCAAAAAATTAGAAATTCTCTCTACGTCTCTCTCTCTATTTCTCAATCCCTAATTTTAATAATGTAAAGCAAAGGAAAAAAGAGCAGCAATTCTACCATTGACAGCCATTAAAAATCTTTGAAGCTTTTGAATTCGAATTTGAATTTTCAAAAATCATTATTTGTTTGGATTGGGTGTTGTTGCAAACAATTGGGAATATGGTTTGAAGTTTATATCTCAATTTTGAGGGTGTTTTGGTGAAGATTAGACTTGTTTTTGGCAGAATTTCAGATTGAAACTCGAAGAAGAAGACATGATATACATTATATTGACGAAATTGTAGTAAAATTGTAGCAATTTTTTTTTGGTAATTAAAATTTTATTAATCACCAGAATATTTACAAATCAGGAACCATAGTATGACTACATCACAGTCTGCTATCTAATTAAGCTACTAAGAAATACTTACTACTAGAACTAACTAAATACTAAGATGTTGGACCATTTCTTTAATTCTAGTAGATGCTCGGATATTACACACATATAAAATTTCCCTCAGTAATTGATCTGAACTCCTTGATCTCCTTTCAAATCTGCGTTGATTCCTTTCAATCCATATTGTATGCACCCATTCTGTATATGCCATCTTGAATACCAAGCTCTCTGTGATTTACCCTTTGCTATTTGAATGATCCAATTCTCCAGTTGTTCCCATTGTGTTGTCCTGAAACAGGAACCTTCATCCATTTTAGCACACTTTCCCAAATTTTGACAGAGTAAGGACATTCCATGAAGATATGGTTTCTCGTTTCATTGTGACTATTACATAGATTGCAGGCATGATCCACATTTACACCCAAGGAGGCAATTCTATCCACAGTCAGAAATTTACCCTGCATCTGTAGCCATAATGTAAATTGAGCTTTTGGATGAGCATTATTTCCAAATCTCAGTCTCTTCCATGAAATCCTCTCGTTGTTCCCAATTAACTGAAGATATATCTGCTTAATTAAACTACCAACAGTGTTGTTTTGAATCAGTACCAATGTATTTCTAGCCTCAAACATTTTCCTTACCATCCAACCAGCCTGTAGAGGAATATCCATTTGACAAAATTGTTGATTCTTGATATAGTATGCATGCAACCATCTGATCCATAGCCTGTCTATCTTATGATCAATGTCCCACTAACTTTAGTTATTGCAGCTTTGTTCCAAAGTTTCATGTTTATCAATCCTAGTCCACCCATTGACTTTGGAGTGCAAACCTTCTCCCAAGCTAATAAAGCCTTCCTAGTAACATAAGATTGTTTATTTTATTGTTCATATATATATANATTTATTTTTACCATGTATAAATTAGATACAAAATATACAAAAGATATATTGTATAAATTTTGTATTTAACTTGTATGTTATTGTAGTTGTATTTAACTGAGTAGAAATAATATGTGAAAGTTGTAGATAAGTTATAGATAAATTGTATAATATATAATTAGTTGTATGAAATTTATTTTACTATGTATATATCAAATACAAAATATACAAAAGATAGATTGTATAAATTTTGTATAAAATTTATATTTGTGATGACCCAAAAGGTCATTACTTGTTTTAAAAATAAATTCTATATTCTGAGGCCTTAAAAACCTCTTTTTGTCTCACCTCAATTTGTGTGCCCTTTCCAGGCTTGTATCCGGAAAGCCATTATATGAAAATCTGTAAAAAAAATGATAAATTTTGCTTTTGAAATGAATTTAAATTGACTTTGGTCAACATTCTTGGTAAGCGGATCCGGACCCGTGATCCGACGGTCTCGTAGGGTCCGTAGTAAATTTTGGGATTTGGGCATATGCCCAAAATCGAATTCTGAGGTCCCAAGCCCAAGAAATGAATGTTTAAAGAAAATTATTTTCTGGAATATATAGCGTTTTTGGAAATGAAAGATGTTTGAAATTGATGGTATCAAGCCCGTATTTTGGTTCCGGAGCGTGGTACAAGTTTGAAATAATAATTAGGTTGAATCTGTAAAATTTGGTAAAGATCAGAATTGGTTTAGTATAAAAACAGACTTAAAGTTGAGAAATCGGAAATTTTGGTGTTCTTGAATGATTTTATGAATTTGGTGTTTAATTCATAGTTGTTGATGTTATTTTGATGATTTGATTGCACGAGAAAGTTCGTATGATGTTTTTTATGTTGGTGTGTATGTTTGGTTTGGAGCTCCGAGGGATCGGGTGAGTTTTGGATAGGCCATAGAGTGGAATTGAACTTAGGAAGTTGAGGGTTTTCAGCTGGTATGTGTTGCAGGCCCTAATCTCGCAATTGCAAGCTCAGGTGTCACAATTGCGAGCCTATCAAGCTTGAGAATTGCGAGGGTCACTTCGCAATTGCGAAGTATGCCCTGGCCAGCCTTTCTCGCAATTGCGAGCAATTCTTCGCAAATGCGAATAACTCAGATATCCCTAGCTATCGCAAATGCGAGTTCGCAATTGCGAACATCTGATCGCAAATGCGAAGATAGCAGGTTCCTTAAGGGTTCGCAATTGCGACATCTGCAATCTGCTAAATCATAACTTAGACGTATTTTTCAAACCTTTTCAAGACCTAAACACCTTTGGGCATTTTTTCAAAGACAACTACTCTTCCAAATCGATTGTAAGTCATTTCTAACTCGTTTTCATTAATCTTTAACATCTTTTCACATGATTTCAACTCAAAATCAAGGGTTTTCATGAGGAAAATTGGGTGTTTTGGGTAGAACTTAGGTCTTTCAAATTTTGGGAATTTGGATCTCGATTTGAGGTCCGATTTCAAAATAAATTATATATTTGGGTTCGTGGGTGAATGGGTAATCGGGTTTTGGTTCGAACCTTGGGGTTTGATCATGTGGGCCCGGGGTCAATTTTTGACTTTTTTGGAAAATCATTGGAAAACTTATTTTCATGCATTAGAATTTATTGATATAGTTAAGTAACTTGTGGCTAAATACAAGCAAATTGGTGGTGGAAACAAGAGGTAAAGTGGTAGTTGAGGTTTGAATTGTGTTCGTGACTTCGAGGTAAGTGTTTGGTCTAAGCTTAGCTCGAGGGATTAGGAGTTGTGTCTTATTGCTATGTATTAATTGTAGAGTATGATGTATAGTCATGGTGACGCGTATCTATACGTCGGTGTCAAATATGCCCGTGGGTCTAGTGTTGTAATTGTTGTGACTCCGTTGAGATTTATTCATGCTTAATATGTTGATTAGCATTGTTGGTTCCCTTGCCGGGATGCTATTGTTTATGATATTGTCTCCCTTGCCGGGATGTTATTGTTTATGATATTGTCTCCCTTGCTGGGATGTTATTGTTATGACATTGTTTCCCTTGCCGGGGTGTTATTTTTTATGATATTGTCTCCCTTGTCGGAATGTTATTGTTATACTCTTGTTCCCTTGCCGGGATTCTTTTGTGATTGATGTTGATTTGTAAATTGGATCGGGTTGCACGCATGCAACAAGATATATGAAATGGGAGCAGGTGTCACGGCGCCACAAAGATATTTGAGATGGGATCGGGTTGCACGTCTGCAATAAGATATATGAAATGGGAGTGGGTGACACGCTGCCCCAGTAATATTTGAAATGGGATTGGGTGGCACGTCTGCAATGAGATATATGAAATGGGATCGGATTGCACGCCTGCAACAAGATATATGAAATGGGTTCGGGTGGCACGCCGCCACAGTAAAATTTGAAATGGGATCGGGTTGCATGCCTGCAACAAGAAAGATATGAAAGTGAATACTGTGTTTGTTTTTCTTATTCTTGTTAGCAATTGAATTTTGGTTTCTTTACATTCCTTTTTGGTATTCTGTTGTTATCTGATACTCCCCGCATCATGCTTTCCTCCTCTCATCTTTAACTGTGAATATCTGCTTTTAGTTTTCCGCTGTATATGATATAACTGCAGAGGTTTATTTGGTAGTCTGGTCCTATCCTCGTCACTACTTCACCAAGGATAGGCTAGGCACTTACCAGCACATGGGGTCGGTTGTGCTGACACTACACTCTGTATTGTGTGCAGATACTAGTGCTGCAGTTTTTGGACCGCAGTGAGGATGCTGTCTTCAGTCCATTCAGGTGACCCAAGGTAGTCCTGCAGGCGTCCGCAGGCCCTGACGTCTCCTTTTATCTTTCTATACTGTTTCTTCTATATATTTCTGAAACTGCTTGTATTTATCTTTCAGACCCTTATTGGTAGTACTCTTAGACAATTTGTGAAATTGTGACACCAGATCTGGGTAGCTTTTTAGTTTGTGGAATTGTATCGGTATTAATATTAAACTGTTACATTTCGTCTCTCCCGCTTATTCAATTCCGCTGTTTATATGATGTTTGTTCACCATTGTTAAAGGATTAAAATGTATGAAAAAGGTTAAGTAATTGGAACAATTGGCTTTCCTAGCTTTTATTTGTAGGCACCATCACAACCCCTGAGGGTGAAAAATCCGGACCGTGACAATATTTAAGTTGTATGTTATTGTAGTTGTATTTAACTGGAAAGAAATAATGTGTGAAAGTTGTAGATAAGTTGTAAATAAATTATATAATATATAATTAGTTGTATAAAATTTATTTTTACTATGTATAAATTAGATAGGTAAGTGTTACCAATTCTGAGTTCATATTGAAATATTGAACTCAAAATTTTCACCAAATCTGCAAATCATTTTCACCAAATCTAAGATCATATTGATTTTGTCAATAGACTGGGGCTGTGTTAATGCTAATGTTATATGAAACCTACTATTTCAATAGACCGAGGAGATTTTGAAAAATCAGAAGATGATTTGTGAGAAAACATATGAGTGGAAACATAAGAAAATAGAAGCGGAGAAAAAAAAGGAAAAGGGTATAACTACTTCCCTTGATTGAAGACACAAATAATAGATTGGGAGCCTTTTAAGGTGGATTGTATATATTTTGTAACTAAAACTTATTTATATCGGGTAATTAACTAAGGGATTTTTTCCTATCTATACCATATATGAAACCTTATTACCAAAAATGTTCATAATTTGTTAATTACCCGCCCAGTCCACACTTTTACTACAATTTATAGACCAATCCATAATTAGGAAGATTCTGCCATTTAAAACGCGCTAAAAAGAAGGCATGAAATCTGCGTTTGATTCTTTCCACATTAAATTCGAATTTTGAAAAGGAAAGAGATCTCATTGCTGCGTAATTCTCTCATTCACTACAATTCTAAAACAACGCAAGCTTCATAAGCTCCAGTAGTCAAATTGCTTTTACAAATTCTACAATGCAATACAAATTGTAGAATTCAAAATTGTTCTTCATCGACCTCAGTACTCAAATTGTCGAACATATATCTGTTCTTCATCTTTTTTCTCTCAACTACACGAAATCATGTCAAAAATCCCAATAATGCTAAAATTGAATGGAAATTGGGATCACTATGGCAGATTTAGAGATTTTGAAGTTGATGCCATTGTGGTAGATGAGAATGCAAGCTACGGAATTCTGATTTCTACAATTGCAGAACAACTATCGATTGATACATCAGATAAAATTGTAGAAATCAAATACATTGTGAACGACAATTGTCCTCCAATGGAGATTAGGAATGATATGGGGGTTCGTGTGTATATGGAGACCAAAAGGAGAATAAGAACTTAGGTTCGTATCCTTTATGTATAAGCATAAGAGATTTCAATATGGAATTGGCAATCACAAACGATAACACAAGTGCAGGTATGTTTAATTCGACATTGCAGAGAGTTATTGTGTTAGTGTATTATCTACAATATTACAACATTTATCTACAAATTAACTATATTAAACAATGTACTGAAGCTCATAAAGCAATGTTGTTTTCAAAATTATCTACATAGTTACTACATTTATCTCTATGTTGCTGCAGGTTCGTCTGTGTCACACCTCCTTTTTCCGCCCCCGCGAGGGGTGAAGGGAGTTCTTTCCAATTAAAGGACAATCGAAACGGGATTTATTTATTTATTTCAGAGTCGCCACTTAGGAGATTTAGGGTGTCCCAAGTCACCAATTTTAATCCCGAATCGAGGAAAAGAATGACTCTGTA